ATTTAGTCAAATCTTTTCCAATAGATTCCTGTAGTAAAATCATCCCAGTGCTTTACTATAGTAAACTCATTTCCAATGCATTCATTTGGTCAAATCATATCCAAATGATTCCTCTAGTAAAATCATTTGCAATGCATTCCTATAATAAAATCATTTCCAATGCATTCCTATAGTAAAATCATTTGCAATGCATTTCTATAGTAAAATCATTCCCAATGTTTTCCTATTGTAAACACATTTCTAATGCATTCGTATGGTAAACTAATTTCTATAGTAAAATCCCTTCCAATGCATTCCTATAGTAAACTTATTTACAATGCATTACTATAGTAATATCATTTCAAATGGATTTTTATAGTAAAATTATTTCCAATGCTTTCCAATAGTAAACTTATTTCCAATCCATTCCTATAGTAAAATCTCTTCCAATGCATTCCTATAGTAAACTCATCTACAATGTATTACTATAGTAAAAACATTTCCAATGCCTTCCTATAGTAAAATCATTTTCAAATGCATTCTTATAGTAAAATTATTTCAAATGGATTCCAATCGTCAAATCATTTCCAATGCATTCCTATAATAAAATCATTTCCAATGAATTCCTATAATAAAATCATTTCCAATGAATTCCTATAATAAAATCATTTCCAATGAATTCCTATAATAAAATCATTTCCTATGAATTCCTATAATAAAATCATTTCCTATGAATTCCAAACTGATTATAAATCAATTTTTTTATTATCTATCTGGAATTGATATAATGAAGTACCAGGTATTATATTCTTACTCATTTCCAATCCATTCCAATCGTAAAATCCCTTCAGATACATTCCAATCGTAAAATCATTTCCAATGATTCCTATATTAAAATCATTATTACATTAAAAAAAATTATTACAATCGAAAAAATATCTTCTGGCTTTAAATAACCCCCAAAGTTTAGACAAGCCACAAAAAAAAAAAAAAAAAAAAAAAAATCAGTCAATCCAAAGTGGAACAAGTGGAATCGGTCAGCCAAGCTCAAATTCTGGGTTGGTCGGTTGCGATCACTTTCGCACAAATATAATATGGAAAGGCATGAATCGTCCCGTTCTCTCCCACTCGTTGACAATGTGGTAATATTTGAGTAGACCAGTGTCTTTAGCCATATGTGTCAACCAGATCAGGAGAATTCCCAACCATGGAGAAAGTAACGGGAACCCACCCCACTATCTCTCCCAAGAAGACATGACAATTCAGGGGTAATAAATAGAAAGAATATGTGGAGAGCCATGATCGCCTACGTCCTGAATGGACATAAATACCACAGTAGAATGCATTCGAACCTTGAGTGGTAGTCAATCTAAGAGGACTACACTAAACGCCAAATTAATGTAGAATGCAGCCGGAAACCACTCCACTATGTTTCCCAAGAACATATGGTAATTCAGATAAAAAAAGAAAAAGGAATGTGTGGAGAGCCATGGTCGCTTTTATCCAAAAGGGAGATGGTGTTTTTGTTTTTTTTTAAATCAGGAAGTGAAATGAGAATTCTAAATCTTGGCGTGGGTTGTCTTCCATTTTTGGCGCGCTAGAGATATGTTCCCAAATACCTGACGCGCCCTGTAGATAGCAAGGAGTTTATCGATATGGACTGTACGAAGAAGCCTTTGAAAGTCACGCCTTCTCGCAGAATTCAGCGTACAACGTTATCATAATATCCGCGACCTTGTGTTGGTCTATCTTCCTGCACTTCAACATATCGCTATATTTAGACAAATACAATACATACACACCAATATATATATATATATATATATATATATATATATATATATAGTGAGGGATGCCAACAAAATGCAGTTGTCTCTTTCTTTCTTTTATACACACGCACACAAGCATACACACGCTTAAATGCAGATACTTATGTGTATCTTAATCCAGTCAAAAATGAAGGTTAAGTTTTTTAAAAAAAAGAAAAATTAAATAAAAAACTTAACCGCAGTACCTTGTCAGTCATTTTAATGAAACTCACCCACTACACCCCCACACACACGCATATATATATATATATATATATATATATATATATATATATATATATATATATATATATTGATAATATTAGTGGAAAATATACATACATATGCAAAATATATAAAAAAATACCCATACATGTATATTTTCAGAAAAAATTTTCCAAGAGGAAGAATCCAGGTAGAACTCAATGTCTAGGACAGAGTAAGGATATAATAAAAAGGCTTAAACACTAATATTCCATGGTCATAATTTATTCCATTGGAATCGTAAATACGATCCAAATCATCAGACCTACAAATTCAAAATGAAAACAGAAAAAACAACTCCGGAAATCAAAACAGAATTTAGAGAAAGTGTAAGTATGAGGAGGAGGGAGATGAAACCTTAACAGAGAGAATTTTAGGAGATGTGGGGGGGGGATTAAAAAGAGGAGAGAAAGAAAGTCGACGGATGTCTAATGCATAAAGATACATTTCGTGGTGACATACACACACCATAGACAATTAGAGAGAGAGAGAGAGAGTCCGCAAAAAATGTATACATACCTCAGGAAAGAAAAAAACTTTCGTAGATTTAGCAAATTGCGATAACACTGTTGACTGTAGTACGATATTTTCTCGACAGATGACATTACATTGGCGGCCCTTAGAAAACAAATTGAAAATACATGTGCAACCATCCCACTAGACACTTTAGTCAACGTTGCCCAAGTATTAGTTCGCTGTAATAATAAATGTCTGGAAGCTAAAGGCTACAAGTTTAAGCTCTTCTTGGGAACATACTTATTATAAAACCCAGGTTGTGTGTTGTGTGTGTGTGTGTGTGTGTGTGTGTGTGTGTGTGTGTGTGTGTGTGTGCGTTTATATATTAATCGGATTTCCTACATTTTTTTCAACCGATTTCAACAAAACTTCACAGGACTACGTAAAATTACCTTTCAATGGTTCTGACAGCGCCAAAAATTGGAAAAATATAATTGTTTTTTTATACAAAATCAGTTTGAAAACATGATTAAGATACATCGCGAGAATGAAAGGGGAACAACTCATATCGAGTTATACTTATTATAAAAACCCATTGTGTGTGTTGTGTGTGTGTGTGTGTGTGTGTGTGTGTGTGTGTGTGTGTGTGTGTGTGTGTGTGTGTGTTTTATTTATATATGGGATCGGATTTATATTTTTCAACCGATTTCAAATAAAACTTCACATTTATTTTGGCAGGTAGTGTTTCTTATTGTCTTTTTATTTTTTTTTCTTTATTTTTACATTCAGAATGCTTTAAAAATTCCATTTACAAGATAATTGTTTATAATAAAATTCTATTCAATTAGTAGACTCATAACGATTGAAAACAATGTTTTTGTTTGAGTTTGACCACTTCGTAAAAAAAAAAAAAAATAATTAAGACATGCGTGCCCGTCAACCTTAAACAATAATCTTTGTCAATTTTATTTTTCAGTCTGTATGATGGTCGATACTTGATCTATCTCTTACTGTTACGTCCCCGGACAACGCCGGACTCTATTGCTAGTTGTTTAATAAGTACAGGCAAATTTGATATTTTGTGATGTTGTGGTTAAGAAAAATTCAATCTTTTTTTTTATTTTAGGGGTGTTAAGATTTAACTTATATT